ACTATCCCCATCTGTGCGTTCACTCCGTCCGCTCCCTCCCGCTTAGCGCCCATCCCGCCCTCCGCCCTCGCTCTCCGCCCCTGCCCTGGCTGGCCTGGGTGGCATCTCCTCATCATCACGCGCCAAGCGGGAGGGAAGTGGACGGGGCCCTGAGCCGACCTAGCCCTAAACGGAATGGGGCGCCCAACACGTGCCCGGATTACTGTGCCTTCCCCGGGTGCAGCCTTTCGGTTCGTGAAGGGTCGGTGCGTGTCGTGACCCCTGGAACAACCGTGCGCTCCCGCACCATCTCCGTCGCTTGGTTTTCTAACCTTGCCACCCGGCGGGAGGCGGCCAGGGTTTCATAGACTCGGTCGAGAGACTACCCCAGATTGGCATCCATGCCTCTCTGGACAGGGTGGCCCGCCACAACGACCCCTGGAATTGCGACTCGCCGCTTTCCTCCCGCTGTGATTCTGTGTGAGCTCTGTGTCTTGATTTGCCAACAATATACCTAAGATACCCCGGAGACGACGTTTTCTTTTAGCCTTGATGTTTCGATGGTTCGTTTGTCTGCTTCTGGTCGCTGCGCTGACGCTCGCCTACAGACGCACACCGGGTGACGACGCGATCATCGTGCTAGCAGGCGGCGTCGGCGACGATGGCGTGCCTCACGAGGCGGTCATGCGACGACTCCGCCGGGCGGCTGAGCTCTACGCAGCGCAGGCAGCCGCAGGATTGCGTCCAGGCATCGTGTGCAACGGTGGTGGCACGACGCACAAGCCAAAGTGGGTGGACGCGAACGGATATGCTGTCCCGGAGGCCGCGCTCATGGGCAAGCAGCTTGAGGCGATGGGGGTGCGCGCCGAGGACATCTACGTTGAGGGCTACAGCGACGATACCATCGGCAACGCCTTCTTCGCGCGCGTGATGCACATCGACGTCCGTCCAGACTGGTCCAGGCTGCGCATCATCACGTCGGAATTCCAGATGAAGCGCACGCAAGCCATCTACGACTGGGTCTTCAAGGGGCTGCAGCCGCTGCCCGCGCAGGGTAGAGAGGTCACCTATGACGCCGTGGACGACGTGGGCGCGATGCCAGCGCACGCGCTGCGCCGCCGCCGCGACAAGGAGGAGGCGAGCCTGCGAGCCTTTG